TGCTGGGATTAAAGGTGTGTGCCACCACCGCCCAGCCCAAGATTTTCAAGATGCCAGAGCTGTGAGCTATCTGTTGAGGAAAGCCGCTTACAGGGAGTGGAATCAGCCCAGGAGAAAGAAGTTTGTTGCAGTCAACAAAAATGAAAAGAGACGTCGGGGCAGTGGTGGTGCACACGCCTTTAATCTCAGCACTTGGGAGGCAGAGGCAGGCAGATTTCTGAGTTCGAGGCCAGCCTGGTCTACAGAGTAAGTTCCAGGACAGCCAAGGCTATACAGAGAAACCCTGTCTTGAAAAAAAAAATGTAAAAGGACTCAGAGATCTGAAGACTGCTTTGACATCAAACATGGAGATGCAGAGTTTGAAGTTTGCCCAGCTGGTTTCCTGGCTTTCTTTGGAGATTACAGTTAATTGATTGGATGAATCTCAGAAGAGACCTTGAGCTCTTTTTTTTTGTTGTTCTTGTTTTTTTTTTGTTTTTTTTTTTGAGACAGGGTTTCTCTGTGTAGCCCTGACTGTCCTGGAACTCACTCTGTAGACCAGGCTAGCCTCCAACTCTCGAACTCAGAGATCCGCCTGCCTCTGCCTCCCAAGTGCTGGGACTAAAGGTGTGCGCCACCACTGCCCGGCCAGAAGAGACCTTGAACTTCTGACTTTTAACGTTGTCTCAACTGCTATAAACTATAGGGATTTGGGAAGTTTGACTAAATGTACTTTTTTATTATGCTATGGCTAGGTATGGCTAGCCATACCCAGAGACTCATATGTTTGAACAAGCCTATAGGGACCAGGGAGTGGAATGTGATGGTTTGTATATTCTTGGCTCAAGGAGTGGCACTATTAGGAGGTGTGGCCTTGTTGGAGTAGGTGTGTCACTGTGGGTGTGGGCTTAAGACTCTCACCCTACCTGTCTGGAAGTCAGTCTTCTACTAGCAGCCTTCAGATGAGGCTGTAGAACTCTCAGCTCCTCCTGCACCATGCCTTCCTAGTTGCTGCCATACTTTCACTTGATAATGAACTGAACCTCTGAACCTGTAAGCCAACTCCAATTAAATGCTGTCCTTTATAAGACTTGCTTTGGTTATGGTGTCTGTTCATGGCAGTAAAACTCTAACTAAGACACAAATAATAATAATAAATAAAAATCCTGAATATATACCCCAGACTGTCAATCATCTGGCCAACTCTATCCCCTAAATCTGATTCACCTGGAATTATGCTAAAGCGATGGGAGGAAAAAAAATATACTTATCTTTCCCAGAAGCCAGTTAGACTGTTACCACAGACCCAACAATCTGGGGCCATAGAAGAACGGCAGCTGCAATGATAGTCATTTTGTTGCCAATTTCTTTTCTTTTTTTTCTTTTTTCTTTTTTTAAAGATTTACTTATTTATTATATATAAATACATTGTAGCTGTCTTCAGACACACCAGAAGAGGGCATCAGATCTCATTACAGATGGTTGCGAGCCACCATGTGGTTGCTGGGATTTGAACTCAGGACCTCTAGAAGTGCAGTCAGTGCTCTTAACCACTGAGCCATCTCTCCAGCCCTTGTTGCCAATTTCATGAGATTTATAATCACCATGGAAACAAAGCTCTGAGCATGTCTGTGAGAATTTCTAGACTACCCACCCTAAATGTAGATGCCACAATCCTACAGACAGGGTCTTGGACTAAATAAAAAACAGGAACCAGGACCTGGAGAGATGGCTCAGTAGTTAAGAGCACTGACTGCCCTATCAAAGGACCTGGGCTCAATTTCTAGCACCCGTATGGTAGCTTATTTGTAACTGCAGTCCAACATCCTCTTCTGTGGGCACTACATGTACATGGTGCACAATCACGTAGGCAGGCAAAGCATCCACACACAAAATAAATAAGTATGTGTCGGGGGTGGGGGAAGCACCAATCTAAGAACCAGCATTTATTGGTGTTTTTTTTTTAACTTTTTATTGATTCTTTGTGAGTTTCACATCATGTCACACTCATCTCCTTTGTATCCAACCTCCATCCTTGCAACCTCTCCCCCTAAAAGAAAATAAAAAAACAAAACTTAAGAAAAAAATAAACAAAACATAAAAAACATCTTGTCATGGAAGCTGTTGTGTGTTCTGGGTCTCTCTACCCTTGAGGCAAGTTGGCTGATTTGTTCCACAAGGGCAAAGGAAGCAGAGCCAGTGAGCGGGGCGGGCAGCCCTGTGAATACCTTTGAGGCTGCTGGTTTCTGCTACTCTATCTATAGCGGATTCTCACTGGGACTCTTCTCAGATATCCTGCTGTTGCCCTGTGTCACGGAACTGCAGGACTTTCACAAGCTCCAGCACTTCACAGTGGGATAGATGTTGGGGTGGGCCAACTCAAAGCTTTGGCTCTGGGCTAGGATAATAGCTGAGTTGGTTGGCCTACCATCCACACCCATCCCATTAGGGCTGAAAAGGGATTTTTTAAGCTAGTTAAATAGTATAACAGGAAGCCTTAATTCACTAATACAAATAGTTAACAATAACAGATCAGCTAGCTTGCTAACCCAAGGATGCAGAGCTAGAGAAACAAAGGTCAATTGAATCTGTTGAAAGGTCTGGGAACCCATTCCCGTGGTGTCTGACTTAGCCTTCTCTAGAAAAACTTCCACCAGAGGTCCCAAGGACTTATAAATTAGATTCAGCCAGATGGTCTGTTGGCTCAGATAAACATTCACACTGGGTCCCAAGGCCACAGAAACCAGAGACTGTTCTCGTGAGATCTGCTTACACATATTACAGACATTTAAAACAACCAATTGTGTGTGATTACCCACAACCCTCTCCCTCCCCCCAGCCTTTGCCTATATAAACCCTAAGCTATTAGGTCTCAGGGTCAATAACCCCTACCTCCTTCGTGAGGCATGTATCGACTGGAAGCTTCGTATATTAAAGGACCTGACTCATGTAATTACAGCAAGGGGTCTCTGGAGTGTCTTTGGGGTTGCGTCCTTCCTGGGTCCCCTTGGAGGAGTCTTTCAAGGGCAAGCTCTCAAGCACTGCCTAGCCAGATCACACAATGTCAGCTGGCAAGGGGCAGAGCCAGCTCTCCTGATCTCACACCCTCAGGACTGCCTCATCTGTTCCCACACAATTGTGTTGCTCAGTCGAGGGGCCTGCCCTCCTGAGTGCTGCAGCTAGTGAGAGGCTGGGCTAGCTCTCCTGATTTCATCCCCTCAGGGCCTACTCTTCCACAGCAGCAGGTGGTGAGGAAGGAGCTAAGTAGTGAGGACATCTCTCCCTCCCCCATGCCACTGGAGGGAAAACCCTGCAGATGCATCTGTTTTCTGACTGTGGACTCCTGTTGCCTTGACAGATGGAACTCTTGAACAATGAGCCAAAATAAACCTGTGAGCTGCTTGTCAGGGATTTGGTCACAGCACCCAGAAAAGTTAACTATTGTGTTTACTTCAGCCTAGTAATTTATAAATATCGTATTCACACCATCACTTTTATTACTGTATTCTGTACAATTCGGATTGACACAAGGTCTCACTCTTGTGACCCACATTGACCTGAACTCCCTATATAGATCTGGTTGTCCTCAAATGTGGAGATCCTCCTGCTTCTGCTTCTCATGTGTTAGATTCCAGGTGTACAAGGTGAAGAACAAAGTTCACTAGTGAAATTATGACTAATGTGACTTTGCTGAAAGTCAGTCTTGTGTATTATACTGTCTATGAGTCTGTCTGGTCAGTAGACTAATCTATACGTCTATTAAATCCAAACTTGGAAGACGCTCAATACATAGTTTTGACTAGTTCTAGCTATTTAAACAAAACTGGATGAGAACACTTGCTTTCACAAAGTGGCTAGATATGAGGTCCTTTGTTGCTAAGTGAAACTAGGATACACATTGTGTGATGGCTAGCATGTTTTACATTTAAATTACTGTGCTTCAGTGGCCTATAGAACAGAATTGCCTTTAACATGGAAGCCCCACTTACCCAAGAACATGAACTTCCTGGAATGCTGGGGCTATTCTTATAATTGTCTGGTACCTTCTATAAACACTTGCTTGAAATAACCAGGACATCTGCAAGGCATGTTTGCTAAGCTGATTGCAGGATGAGTGCCTGAACACAGAATCTAGACTGAGGGCTCTTGTTTGTTTTTATGTTCCTTTTGTTTTTTGTTTTGCCTTTATAAATCCCTAATGTGGCATGAGCTACAAATGGGAATCCTGAGTCCCAGGTGTAGCCCTGGTGCCACAATCTGAATAACCCTCCCTATCTTTGTTATCTTTGTGGCTATAACTGGTTAAGCATGGTAGAATATGCCTAGAATTCTCTATTTAAAGCAGGGTGGCCTTGACACACTGTTTCTGGACTGCTGGGCCTACAGACCTGTGAAACCATCAGCCCAGCAGAATAAGCTCTTAAGATCCAAGATGTCAGTGTATTGGCACTATTTTTTAAAATTTGTAACCAAATGTGAGGGCTCACATCTGCAATCACAGCACTAGGGACACAAAGGACTGAGAAGGAGGAAGTCAGCCTGGGGAACCTACCAAGTTTCAGAACCACCTACCAACCCAGACAAAATAAAAACACAACACCCAACCTTCCCCAGTGAGAAAAATGGACCTTAACAAGGTCCTCTTCTTTGTTTTCTTGAGTCAGGATTTCCTTTGAAGCACAGCCTGGCTTCAAATCCATGATCCTGTCTCAGCTTCGCAAGTGCTACTCTAATAGGCCAGCCTGCCTCCAACCCCACCTCCTTTTCCTTCCTTTTTTTCATTTTGTTTTGTTTGAGATGATGTTCCTCTGTATCCTGGCTGTCCTGGAACTCAATTCGTATACCAGGCTGGCCTCAAACTCACAGCGCTCCCCATGACTCTGCCTCCGAAGGGCTGGGATTAAAGGTGGGCACCCCCACACCCGGCCCGGCCATGCAGGTAGTAGGTCCTAGCATGGTAATTTGGGTGCGCCAAAAAAGGCCTGCACATGAGGACCAGCACTTAAAAATGGACACACACATGTAATAAAAAACGACATTGCTTTCTATTTAAAGTTGAACAACATTGAACAACAGCAGGGACACAGAATATGTTCAAGATGGGCGTGAGTGGAAGCTGCAGGGCTCCCACATGGAGCCCATTGCTGTAAACACCAGAAGAAGGATCAGTCTCTGACAGAATCAGAACTGGATAAACCACAATGGGCGTGCTCCAGTTAAGTGTTTGCCAAGTATCTGTCCAGGTCTGTTACAGCTACTGAGCAAATGGGTTGGCATGAATAGTTATGTCCTTAATGTGTACATCATTAAGAGGTCTGTATGTCTTCTCATTTACTGGTAACTTCTCCAATTCATCCAAAGTCTCCAGACCATCTATTACCCTGAAAGAGAAGCAACATAACATGTAAAAAATTTCTCACTTGTAATGTAAAGTACCTACAGCAATTACAGTCTTCAGAGAAGTGTACCCTCCTCTGCCTTCTTTTACAATCATGTGGCCTGGTTGGATTGTGTGTCCTGGACACAAGTAGCAAAGTGGAGCATCAAGGTTGGTTCCATGCACAAAACACCAAGGAGAGTGAGGAGGCCTTGAATTCAGGAGGCTCAGGACCCACACTTCCCCAGGTCTTTTTTTTACAACAACCGGGTGACCTCAAGGACGTGTATACCTGCTGCTTTGGTTTGGAACTTGAGTGTCCCTCAGAGGTCCATGTGCTAGAGGTTTGGTCAACCGTTTGGGACTACTGGGAAGTACATAAGCCTTTAAGGGTAGGGCCTAGGGCTGTGTAGATATGAGGATATAAGTCCAGCCCCCAGCACATCTATAATCCCAGAGCTGGCTGAGTAGGCACTGGGACAAATGACCATGGGCTGAAACCTGTAAAACTGTAGATCAAAAGAAGCCTTGTCTTTTTGTTTTTTTGGTTTTTTTCGAGACAGGGTTTCTCTGTATAGCCCTGGCTGTCCTGGAACTCACTCTGTAGACCAGGCTGGCCTAGAACTCAGAAATCTGCCTGCCTCTGCCTCCCAAGTGCTGGGATTAAAGGCGTGCGCCACTACTGCCTGGCAAGAAGCCTTGTCTTAAAAAAATAAAAACCTGCCAGGGGGTAGTGGCACACGCCTTTAATCCCAGCACTTGGGAGGCAGAGGCAGGAGGATTTCTGAGTTCGAGAGTTTGAGGCTAGCCTGGACAGCCAGGGCTACACAGAGAAACCCTGTCTCGAAAAACCAAACCAAAAATAAATAAGTAAATAAAAATAAATAAATAAATAAATAAATAAATAAAAACCATGGTTGGAATCTAAGCCAATGCAGTTAATGAGGGAAAATGTTTTCTTATATTGCACAGGTATCAGGGTTTCTATATGAACTTAAATTTTTATCTTATGAGTATGCATGTTTTGCCAGCACATATGCCTATAAACCACATTCATCCAGTGCTCCAGGAAGCCAGAAGAGGGTGTTAGTTCCCCAGGAACTGGAGCTACAGAGGTTGGAAGCCAGCATGTAGGTTCTGGGAATTGAACCCTGGACCTGTAGAACAGCCAGGGCTTTTAACTTATGGGTCATCTCTCCAGCTCCAAGAAGCATGTACTTTAAAAAACAAACAAAACAAACAAACAAAAACAGATTTACATTTATTCTGCATTTCCACTAAGATATAAAAGGACGTAGGAATGAATAGCTAGGTTTAGTGACCCACACTTTAATCCCAGCATTTGGGAGGAGGCAAAGGCAGGTAGATCTCAGTGAGTTCAAGGCCTTCCTGATCTACATAGAGTTCCAGGTGAAACCCTGTCTTAAACAAATAAACAAACACAAAACACAGAGAAGCACACAAGGAAGAACGCCTAAAGGGATAACCACAACAACCACACCTTTTAAAGGTATTCCTATGTGGAAACAATTAAGTTCTATAAATTATCTTCTGGTCTATATGAAAACCAGAGAACCTGGAAAATTCTGAGCTTCTGCAAAAAGAGAGGTGGTGGTGGTGGGGGGGGCGGCAAGTGGGCTTGCAGGGTCAGGAATCTAGAAGAAGAGGTCCTTAGGAAACCACAGGAAACTTACACATCTTTTTTTTTTTTTTTTTTTTAGATTTATTTTTTATTTTATTTATGAGTACACTGTAGCTGTCTTCAGACACACCAGAAGAGGGGATCCAATCTCATTACGGATGGTTGTGAGCCACCATGTGGTTGCTGGGATTTGAACTCAGGACCTCTGGAAGAGCAGTCAGTGCTCTTAACCGCTGAGCCATCTCTCCAGCCCCTTACACATCTTCTTTCCAGGAAAAGGTGCATAAAAATACAACTTCAAGTAGTTCAGGGGACTGGAGAGAGGCTCCATGGGTAGGGCACTTGCTGCTCTTACAGAGGACCTGGGCTTGCTTCCCAGTATACACATGGTTCTCAGCACCACATGGTAGCTCACAGCTTCAGGTCTAAGGGACCCAAAACCCTCTTCCAACCTCTGCAGGTACCAGGCCGGCACATTGTGAACATAAAGTCAAACATCATACAAATAAAACCGACAAAAAAAAAGCAAGCTAAGAACCAAGTAATTCAGGGGCCTAAGGTTAGCCTTCAGTTTTCTGTTGTTGGCATGCAGACATAAAGATGACTAGATGCCTTCAGTCTAGGGTTCCAGTTGCTGCATTAACTAATTATATTAAGCTAGACACAGGTGTTTAGAACACAAGTAAACAGGGGATCCTCTAATTTTTAAACCTAACTTAACATCCAAACTACTCAGTAAAATTCTAGCCAAGCCTGGGAACTCCTACCTGTGCATCTCTGAACAGGGAAGGCTGAGACAGGAGGACTATGTTTTATTTTTTCTTTTCTCTGTGTAGCCCTGGCTGTCCTGGAACTCACTCTGTAGACCAGGCTGGCCTCGAACTCAGAAATCCGCCTGCCTCTGCCTCCCAAGTGCTGGGACTAAAGGCGTGCGCCACCACTGCCCCCAAAATCTTGTTAAAACCAAACAAATAACGTCCTAGTACTTTAGGTCGATGTATTTTTTTTCACTGAGTATGACAAACACACGTTGAATGAATAAATTTTACCTCCTAATGAATTATAAAATCTGCTTAAAGGTTGAGTGTTTATAATGCATAATTTGGAAAGAACTGCCAAACAGCTCCGTAGGGTCAGATCAGGCACACTTCCCTGAAGGCACAACCCACACAGCTGAAAAATACCACCTACTCTGCCTATAGGCAAGGTGTGGCCACATCAGCAAGTTCTAGATCATCTGGTAAAGTTCTTTCTTTTTTTAACTCCTTAAAAAAAAAAGAAGAAAGAAAGGAAGGAAGGAAGAAAGAAAGCAGGCAGGCAGGCAGGCAGGCAGGCTCAGGTAGTACATAACTTCCTCAGGGTCAGAGCGCTGACAGCTGATGACTGCTGGGGAGTCCAGGTACTTTTAGTTGTGGACCTGGTCTTTCCAGTATTAGCTATGCTGTGATCACACCATGCATGTACACTGATACGTCAAAGAAAGAGATGACTACAACACTCACTTCCCAAACACTGTATATTTCATGTCCAAGTGCGGCTGCTTGCCATAGGTGATGAAGAACTGAGATCCATTGGTATTTGGGCCATTATTAGCCATAGATACAACACCTCGAACACTGTGCTAAAAAAGAAAACCAAGGCATTAATTTAACTGTGCTGTTAACTGCAAATTCCAAAGGCAAGTTGAAACACTCTCTGCTTTCTCAATATTCAGGGGACTAAGAAATGGTTTAGCTAGCTTCTCTATTAGTATTAATTCAAATGTGCAGGTTGTATATTATCTGTATCACTAAAACCCAGCATATAATTTGCTTATATAATTATCATATCCTCCAATCCATCTTATTTTCACTTTGGAGAAGCAGTTACAAACACTTTTATTTCTATCTGTGTATAACAGAAACATTCCTTAACATTTATATTAAGGAACAATGCACTACAATGAAAAAACAATCAGGCAACAAAACCCAAATCCTCCAAATCTCTCCTCAAATACTGGTCACTAGGTTAGCTTCTTGATCTGTAAAACAAGGAAGGTTGGACTACTTCAGGGGTCTGTTCAAGATGCAGATGCTCACAAGAACTGAGTAGTAGATAGATAGCTAACAACTGAGCAGAGATGGAGCCTGGCAAGCTCAACAGTGTATTTCTCCTGCCTAAGGATTTCTTGTGTCTTTTTAAAAATATTTATTTACTTATGAGTACACTGTAGCTATCTTCATGCACACTAGAAGAAGGCACTCGATTCCACTACAGATTACACCATGTGGCTGCTGGGAATTGAACACAGGATCATTGGAAGAGCAGTCAGTGCTCTTGAGTGCTGAGTCATCACTCCAGCCCCCAGATTTCTCCTCTTTTTTTTTTTTTAAAGATTTATTTATTTATTTATTTATCATATATGAATACACTGTAGCTGTCTTCAGACACACCAGAAGAGGGCATCAGATCTCATTACAGATGGTTGTGAGCCACCATGTGGTTGCTGGGATTTGAACTCAGAACCTCTGGAAGTGCAGTCAGTGCTCTTAACCACTGAGCCATCTCCCCAGCCCCCAGATTTCTCCTCTTAATGGTCATAAAGAAGGCATCCTTGAATCTTCCTCCATGGCCAATCAATCAGTTTATTAGCTCAGGACTGGTTGACCTGAGGTCTTATCTAGTCCTAATTATCAATTATTATCATCATCAGTAATTATCAATAATACTAATTTACAAGGAATGGTATGTAAGAATTGAAAGTATCTCACTAAAATAAATGAAGCTGTGCCATAGTGTGGTAGCCAGTCAATAGCAGCAAAACATAACTAACTCCTGATTAATCTAGCATTAGCTGTTAGTCAGGTGATAGCAGCCAGAAAAGCTAGGGAGGTGCAGCTACATTTAATAATGCATCATTACCTCAGCGACAGATGACTACTGCTCAGGTGTGGTGGCACAAGCCTAGAGCATACGGGAAGCTGAGGTAGGAGGAGTTCAAGATTCCCTGAGCCACATAGTTCAAAGACTGCAGTGTGCTTTTTCACTACTGATATGCTAAAATGTCTTCATTTCATAATTAATTGGCTTGTGTCTCTTGGAGTACAAGAGCTACTCTGGCATATATAGACTGTGAACCTTGAATACCCCTCAGTTCTGGTGTGTAGGATAATGGCTTTTGGTGTTTTCTGACAGGATCTCATGTAGCCCAGGCTAGCCTCAAATTCATTATGTAGCTAAGACTGACCTTAGCCTTCTGACCTTCCTGCCTCTCTCTACCTCTGTGATGTTGCAATTACAGGTGTCATCACCATGCCTTGTTCATGTATCTCTGGGGACTGAGCCCAAGGCTTTCTACCTGCCAGTCACCCATTCTATCCACTGAGCTATGTCTCCAGGTCAAGAAAAAGATATAGCTTAGACTGTTCTCAAATTAGTGATCCTACCTTATCTTCTTCAGCATTTGCTTATCAACATAGGTCACCAGAACTGGTGCTAGTTTTTTGTTTTAAATACAAAGTATTTACTTAGCTAGGTATAGTGGCATGCACCATTAATCCCAGCACTCAGGAAGCAGAGGCAGGGGGATATCTGAGTTCAAGAGATCTGGTCTACAGAAGCAAGTTCTAGGATGGCCAGAGCTACATAGGGAAACCCTGTTTTGAAAAACTAATAACTACTTTTTAATTTTTACAGTTTATGTCTATGAGTGTTTTGCTTGCATCAATGTGTGTGTGTGTGTGTGTGTGTGTGTGTGTGTGTGTGTGTGTATCAGGAGTGTGTAGTACTTGCAGAGGTACAAATGTTTGTGAGGAGCCAGAGCCATGTGAGCGTTGGGAATTGAAGCTGGGTCCCCTGGAAAAGCAGTCAGTGCCCTTAGCCACTGAGATATCTTGCCAGCCCTAGTAACTGATTCCTCCTCCTCCTCTTCCCCCTCCTCCTCTTCTTCCTCCTCTTCCTCTTCTTCTTTCTCCTTTTCCTCCTCCTTCTCTTCTTCTTCCTCCTCTTCCTCCTCCTCTTCTTTTAAAAGATTAACTTACAGCCGGGCAGTGGTGGCGCATGCCTTTAATCCCAGCACTTGGGAGGCAGAGGCAGGTGGATTTCTGAGTTTGAGGCCAGCCTGGTCTACAGAGTGAGTTCCAGGACAGCCAGGGCTATACAGAGAAACCCTGTCTCCAAAAAAAAAAAAAAAAAAGATTTACTTATTTTATGTATATGAGTACACTATCACTGACTTCAGACACACCAGAAGAGGACATCAGATCCCATTACAGATGATTGTGAGCCACCATGTGGTTGCTGGGAATTGAACTGAGGGCCTCTGGAAGAGCAGTCAGTGCTCTAAACCACTGAGCCATCTCTCCAGCTCCCTAGCAACTGATTCTTTACATACACTTCTCAGTGGACGCTAACACAAGTATTAAGTAAAGATAATATAATAATATCCAAATGTCTAATAGAAAAGTAGAAAGGTTGGAGACTGGGCTGGGAATATGGCTCATGATCAGTAATGCTCTCCCAGGACGCAAGTTAGGCTCCCAGCACCTACATCATAGAGCTTACAACCAGCTGTAACTCCAGCTCTGCTGATCTCCAGGTCTCTGAGGCATCTGCACTCATGGGCACATACTTACATTCTGAAACACACACCTACAGATAATTAAAAATTGTAAAAATAAGTCTTCAAAAAATAAAAATGGAGAGTGATGATGGTTAATACTGCAACTAAGAAGTCTCTCCTTCCCTTATCAAGAGAGGCCAGTGAGAGGCCAGGTATGGTGGTGCACCCCTTTACTCCCAGCACTCGGAGGCTGAAGCAGGCAGACAGCCATGAGTTTGAGGCCAGCCAAGGCCACACAGATCTTCAAAAGGCCAGTGACTCATGTCAGCTCAAACTTCGTTGTGAGATGGTAAGGCTCTTTCCTATATGTCTTACTAAATACTTCAAGTTGGACCCAAGGACAAGGTCTTTTATCCCAATGCAGAGGTGCATGGCTCCAGAGGTTTATGCCAGGCTAGAACTTCCAACTATTTCCACTCTGACATCACTTGCCAAGTGTGTGAACACTACAAAAAAGTATATTAATTTCATAATGATTCGTTTGTTGAGATAGCCTGGGCTGGCCTGGAACTCACTGTGTGGACCAAACTGGCCTTGAACTCACAGAGATTCATCTGCTGTTGCCTCCCATGTGTTGGGATTAGAAGTGTGTGCTACCACACCCAGCTCATAATGCTTTAATGTGCTACATCATATGTAAAAAGTTTGCGAGTATAACTGGAGCCACATGGCTATACCTTCAGATATTCACTGTATTCATCCTCAAACTTCTTGCCCCATATACTGCTACCTCCTCTTCCAGTACCTGTATAACAAGACAATCAAACCAAGAGGCATCTAATTAGACTTCAATGGGGACTCCATTTCTAAAACAGGAAAAGTGTTTTATACCATAATACATATTTATTTATATGGTGATGGGGATCCAACCCAGGACAATACACATGCTAGCCAAGTGTACTACCACAGAATTAAATCTCCAGCCCTAGCTGAACTCTTTAACTATAAGTGTGTGTGTGTCAGAGAGAAATCATTTAGAAGCTTGAAAACAGGGCTTGGCCAGGTGGTGGTGGCACATGCCTTTAATCCCAGCACTCGGGAGGCAGAGGCAGGTGGATCTCTGAGTTTGAGGCCAGCCTAGTCTACAGAGTGAGTTCCAGGACAGCCAGGGCTACACAGAGAAACCCTGTCTCGAAAAACAACAACAACAAAAAACAAAAACAAACAAACAAAAGAAAACAGGGCTTGATTATGCTATTCAAGTGTTCTACCAGTGAGTTATGTATCTCCAGCATTCCCAACTTTCTTTTTTTTTTTTTTAACTAATTTTTTGAGGTAGGGTTTCCTTAAGTTATTCTGGCTGACCTTGAGCTTACAACACTCATGTCTCAGCCTTACAAGTACCCAAGACAACTGTCTGTACATCAGCTGGCTTCTAGCATCCTCATGACAAAGAGAAAACCCTCCTCATTAATACTGCTCATATTTTATAGTCACGGGCTAATACCTCTTCCTTCTAAAAAAAAATCTTGCTGCTGGCTGGACCAAAAGCAAGTACATTCATTTAATTAATGTATTATGGTGCAAGACTGTATTCCCAGCATCCATAAGGTAGAGAGAAGCAGGAGAATTGCTGAGTTTGAGGCAAATCTGGGTTATTTGATGAAACCCTGTCTCATGGCTCAGCTGCTAAGAATATTTGCTGATTCACAGAATGTAGGAACAAGTGGATCTCTGTGAGTTTGAGGCCAGCCTGGTCTACAGAGCAAGTTCCAGGACAGCCAGGGCTACACACAGGGAAACCCTGTCTCAAAACAAAACAAAACCCAAACCAAAAAACAAACACTTGATGAGCTGAACCGCATGGGGAGACATCCCCGAGGACTCAACCCTACACAAAGAACGACAGGCAACTGAGTAATGCCAAGAGCAGGAGAGGTGTCTCCCCAGAGAAGAACACACCAACTGGTTATCTACTGCCCAATGCTTAGCTTTGAAGACATACATACAGGTAATGTCTTTCAGACTCAACAGGTCATATCTGGAAATATATGTAGCTTAATAGGTTACTACTGTTGTGATGAAACGCCATGACCAGAAGCAACTTGGGGAGGAGGAAATTGTTTATTTCACTCACAATCCCACATAACAGTCCATCATCAAAAGCGGTGTAGGTAGCCAGGTGGTGGTGCACAGCTTTAGTCCCAACACTCAGGAAGCAGAGGCAGATAGATCTCTCTGAGCTGAGTTTGAGGCCAGCCTGGTGTACAAATTGAGCTCCATGACAGCCAGGGCTACACAGTAAAACTCTGTCTTGTTTTTCTTTTTGGAAAAACCAAAAAAAGCCGGGTGGTGGTGCACTCCCAGCACTCGGGAGGCAGAGGCAGGTGGATTTCTGAGTTTGAGGCCAGCCTGTTTTACAGAGTGAGTTCCAGGACAGCCAGGGATACACAGAGAAACCCTGTCTCGAAAAAACAAAAAAAAAAAAAAGAAAGAAAAAAGAAAAACCAAAAACCAAAAAAAAAAAAAAACAAAACCCAAAAAACAAACAAACAAAAACAAACAAACAAAAACAAAACAAAAAAAAGAAAAAGAAAAAAGAAAGAAAAGCAGGCAGTGTGGTAAGGTAAATCAAGTGTGGCAAGAAAGCTGGAGGGAGGCAGGAGCTGATGCAGAGGTCATGGGAGGATGCTGCTTAGTGGCTTGCTCAGCCTGCTTTCTTATAGAACCCAAGACCACCAGCTCTGGGGTGGCCCCACCCACAATGGGCTTGGCCCTCCCATATCAATCACTTATTAAGAAAATACCCTACAAGTCTTGCCTACAGCCTGATCTTATGCAGGCATTTTCTCACATGAGGCTCCCACCTCTCTGATGACTCTAGCTCAGTAGTTCTCAACCTACCTAATGCTGGGATCCCTTAATACAGTCCTTCATGTTGTGGTAACCCCTAACCATAACATTATTTTCGTTGCTACTTCATAACTGTAATTTTGCTACTGTTATAAATTTTAATGTAGGTATCTGTGTTTTCCAATGGTCTTTAGCAACCCCTGTGAAAACTTTGTTCAACCAGAAAAGGGGTGTGACCCACAGGTTGAGAATTACTGTTCTATGTTGTGTCAAGTTGACATAAATCTAACATAGACAATATGTACAAATACATATATCCATGCAATAACAACTGACGCAAAAAGACTCCATGAGTTTGAAGGGGATCAAAGACAGGTAGGTACATGGGAGGGTTTGGAGAGGTGGGCAGGAAGGAAGAAATGCTGTAATAAAAAAAAGAACACTTTGCTTTTGGAAGCAACCTGAGTTCAGTTCAGTTCTCAGAATGCAAATGTTGGCTCAGGAGTCAGCAGGTGTGCAGGTATACAGGGCCCTTGCACACATACAGGCAAAACACTTACAAGTAAATATATCTTTAAAGAAACAAAACCCTAAACTTTTCTGCTATTGTCAAAGTAACCCTGTTATATAGCATTTTGTTTTTCAATTACTTTACACATCTCTTTTTCATATGCTATATCCAATTTTCCTAATTTCAGTTAGTGGAAAAACGTACCTGTTGGATCTCCTGTTTGAACCATGAAGCCCTTGATATTTCTATGAAACACACAGCCGTTGTAGTAATTACTGGCACAAAGAGCCAAGAAATTCTGAAGAGAATAAAAATAGTGACTGAGAATAGTTTGGGCAGAAATGTACTTGAGATAAAGGTCCAGTCATGGTCACTGAAAATACTATCGTGGCATATTTAACTATGAGTTTTAGGCATTAGTCTTCAGCTGGTCCCAGGGGCCCTGCATCCTCCACCCTGCGCTCTCTGCAGCTTAAGGCATTGTACTCTTGCAGTCACTTCACTTGCTGCTCTTGTCTTCATTCCCAGCTGGAATGAACGAGGGCAGTGACCTGTCCCTTGCTCATCACTGTTCCCTAGACATGGCTGGAGAGTCTTTTAACAAATAACTGCATGAAAGAAAAATAGTTGACTTTTCTTCCTTTTATCTTTGTCATTTCAACAGACTAAGTAGTCACAGTTCCTAAAAACAAATCAGGCGAAAGAAGAAAAAAAGATACTGTATACTTGATGCTTATATTTCCTTCGTATGTGTGGCACACGTGTGGTATGTGTGTACATGTGTGCAGGTACGTGAGCCTTTGTGCAGAAGCAAAGCAAGAGAAGGTTGAGAATCCTAAGCTATTGCCCTCGGCCCTTTCCCTTTGAGACAGGGCTTCTCGCTGAACCTGGAACTGGCTATCCAGTAGTCCAGAAGCCCCAGTAGTCCTCTGGTCTCTGCCCCAACCCCTAGCACTGGGATTACAGGCCAGTGTGACCATACCCAGCACTCTCTATGGGCTCTGGGAATTTGAACTCTGGTCTTCATGCTTGCCCAACAAGTGCTCTTCTCTGCTGAGTTATCTCCCCAGTCGTTTCTTCCTTTCTCTTATTGAACTCTGACATCATGAAAAGTGCACTTAGACCTGAAATTATGATAAGCTTTTCCTGACAGTGGGTTCACAGACAGTTTTCTTATTTTTTTAGGCTGATAATTCAGTTTCAAAAGGCATAATGTTATTGTGCCCTGTGTAAAGATTATCCTTGTATTATTCAAATGCTGATTTCTCTGCCCCTATATCTAGTTGCAATCCAGACACGGCACTGTAATGCTTATTCTAAGAATCTCTGGTCTCAATGTTGTGTAAACATTGCTCCCCATTTATTCTCTAATTTGTCAATAAAAGCTGGTCAGCCAATGGCTGAGCAAGGAGAGAATAGGGCTGGATTTCTGATCCCACCCAGGGGAGTGGGCGAGATAGAGGAGAAGAGGATCCACTGTGAGGAAAGGGTGAGGAGACATGACAGGAACACGCCAGGAGCAGAGATCCAGGCAATACCAAGACGAAAGCGACTTGGGGATTTAGACTAGAGGTAGATTAGTTTAGAGGATTAAAATAGATAATGCTGCTCAGCTATTGTGCCATAAAGCTTATTAAAATAGATAATGCTGCTCAGCTATTGTGCCATAAAGCTTATTAAAATAGATAATGCTGCTCAGCTATTGTGCCATAAAGCTTGATTAAATAAATCTCTATAGTCTCTCTCTCATTTATTTGGGAGCTGGTTGGGATACAGAAAGAACTGTTACTTTAAAAACTGCACTAATATCCTGCTATATTAGGGTGTTTATGTTGTTGTTTTTGTTTGTTTTAAGAACAGGTCTCACTCTGTAGCTCTGCCTGGCCTAGGACTCACTCTGTAGACCGGAGTGGCCTCAAACTCAGAGATACACTGGACTCTGCTTCCTAGTGCTGGGATTAAAGGCATGTACCACCTCATTAGTTGAATTTTAATATGCAGTGACACTCACCTCACATGTTTTGGGTGTCCTCTCACAGAAGACTTCTATCTTGATATCCCCCACGTCTGTATGCAGTGTCACAGACTAAAAGAAGGAGAATGTGAAAACAAATGATATTTACTCCTATAGCTACAGGTTCTGTAGTATTTCTGGATCTTCAAGTTGACAATCTGATTAAAGACATTAAAGATAACTGATTTGTTCACATAAAGCAGCTCTGATCATCGTAGTAGAAATAACTATTTTTACTTAGAATTTTTCATGAATTAAAAACAATTTATATCTATTACTGATTTTTATGTCTCAACCTCACTAATATTTAACTGAAAAAAGTTAATAAATTTATTTTATTTTTTTAACATTTTGTTTGTTTAATTTTTTTCTTTAGATTTATTTACTTTATGTGGATACACTGTCACCAGACACAGCAGAAGAGGGCATCAGATCCCATTACAGATGGTTGTGAGCCACCATGTGGTTGCTGGGAATTGAACTCAGGACCTCTGGAAGAGCAGCCAGTGTTCTTAATCGCTGAGCCATCTCTCCAGCCCAATAAATTTATTTTTTCAAAACAGTTTCCACTATTTCCTTTGGGTAGTTTGATTTTAAGAAACCAGGTTAAAAAAAAGCAATCACTTCATTTACTAAAGACAACAAAACAAAAGCGGTTGGCATTTCCAACACCTACTGGCCACAATGCTTTCTCGATGGCCTCTTCCTTTTCTTCTTGTATCTGTTGCTTGGTTCCTTTACTGTTTAATCCATATCTTATTTCAAAGATGAAGAAAACTATTTGGAGGCTTCCCTTTATTTAGTCAAATCTTGCTATGAAGCCATGGTTGGCCTTACGATGGCAGCAATCCTCCTGCCCTAGCCTCTCTTCTTACAGCAGTATCCAGCAGTGACTGTGCCTGGGTGAGGTGACTGGGGTGCTTCAGTGGAGACACAGGAGCTACGCTGCCTGCTATTCTACCTCTGGTTCTCTCTGCAGGGAAAGGGCACACTATTTGTTTGTTAATTTTTGTGTGTGTTTTTTTGACGCAGGATCTATGTAGACAGGGACGGCCTAGAACCGGAGCTCCTATAGGCTGGGGGCAAGCTGGCCTCCCGAGTGCTGGGACAATAGATCTGTGCCACCACACCAGCAGGATAACGTTGTAATGATCATGCCTACTCGTTCATTCTGCTTTGTTCCGTCTATACTGGTACACACGGTCTCTCCCTCTTCACAGCCCCTCTCCTCCCTGACCCCTCCCCTCCCTTCATCCTAGGAATGCACTCCGCCACTGAGCTACACACTCAGTATCCTGTCTGACTTCCTAAAAAAAAAAAAAAAATCATAATTAAAAAACATGTAATGGGCTGCTGAGAGGATTTGGCAGTTAACAGGACTTGTTGCTTTTCCAGGAAGCCCTGTTCAGTTCCCAGCACCCACATCTGCTTTGTCTCCAGCTCCAGAGAATCCAAAAAGGGATAAAAACAAGCAACCAGCCACCCACTTAGAATAATTCAAGATACTCACCATTCTCCTTCTTGATGGGTCTAGGAAGTACTATTTAATTTTTCAAAGCTCCTAAAAGAAAGAGAAATTAGTTCACTTTGCCCTATCTTTCCCATCATACATGTTCATCTTTACGGTAGATTTACAACGAAAAGCTTAGAACAGCATCCTCTAAATAAAAATCCGATCATAGAAGTGTTGATATCCTACCCAACGCAACAAGCCACCTCAGTGCTCTACTTACTTTATTCATTTTCTTTAAGGCTTTTTCTGCAGGGGAGGCATATCCTCACCTCCTGGTCTAGTGCTCTAGATCGGCACTGGGGCTCCCTTTACCCGGGTCACCTACTTTACTTATGACGTCTATACAATAAATTTCTATACTTCACAGTTTTTTTTTTTTTTCAAATGCCACATCTTGCTAACTTCACAATCGTATTTAAAAGTCCCCGAAACACCATCTCGAGACTTCATCACGAGTATCCCAAGAAATAAAGTTGCATCAACGTGGGGCGCAGCAGGTGTTTGAGTGCAGGAATAAAAGGATAAAAACCTTTACCCCACACTTACCCACTTCGCTCAGCACCGCTGCTGCAGGAACAGAAAAGCCTCAACCACAGGCACCCGCATGCCTGCAGGTTCCAAAAGAGTTCATATGCACCACCGGAAGTGGAGCGCGGGGCCCTCCGCAGAGAACTCCCTAATCTCCAGTCAGTCTCTCCTCAGCACACCGACTAGGACTCGGAGGACCATGCACCACACCCCTCCGCCCTTGCGACAGCAAGAGGGCTCTACTGACAATCTCACTAAGAAGCAGAATCCACTATCTCCCAGCAACCTCATACAGTCTGGAGTCGGAAACAAAGCACACCGGACCACTTCCGCCCAACTTCTTCCTACATTGCCAGGAGCTTCAGGGCAGAGCGGAAGTGACATACCAGAATTGTTTCTGCGACTGGTGAGTAGCGAACGAATGAAAGGCTCGCGGGGTAATCTGTTCTCGCTGGAGATGCACATCGAGGCCGGCTGTGGTGACTGTAGGGTGCTGCGGAGCATGAGCACATGAGAGATTGCGGCAGAAAACTGCTTTGCTGCAGGAGGGGCGAGGGTCCTGACTCCAGGAATAAAGGCTGTGCCACGCGGCCCTTGATTATTCTGGAAAAGGCCTTGAGCCATGCATAAGTGAAAGAAGGAAGAACCATACGCGAGTGTAAAGAGAGCTCTGATGTAATTGAAAATAGCAAATGGCTGTTCAGAAGGCTAAAGATAATGTAGAATAGCAATGGATAGTCCAGTATCTCCACCGTAGAGCAGCTCCAGTCCATTGAAATAATGCTTTAAACGTGTCTGTAGTGTGAGCACATTGTGCCAGAATCAGATCGGGACACATTCTTGTCCTCTCACAATTGAAGTTTATTGAATAACAATAAAGTCACAAGTTACATCAGTTTCTTTGGTAGCTCGTTGAGCAGGATATTTGATCACACTGTGAACCCCAGAGATTGTATTACTTGGGAAAAAAAAATCTTTCTAATAGTGGTGTGTCTCAGCCCTTAACGCACATCTTTTTTCTTTTTTCTTTTCTTTTCTTTTTTTTTTTTTTGGTTTTTCGAGACAGAGTTTCTCTGTGTAGCCCTGGCTGTCCTGGAACTCACTCTGTAGACCAGGCTGGCCTCGAACTCAGAAATCTGCCTGCCTCTGCCTCCCAAGTGCTGGGATTACCACTGCCTGGCAGCACACATCTTTAATCTCAAACAATGAGGATAAAGTTAGTTTGTAGAAGGAAGCATCCATGTTTGAACGTGATGTCTAACTGAGTGGCAGACAAAGTGAGTAATCAGAGAAAGATTTGACAGAATAGGATATGGCCAACTCTCGAGAACAGGGAGAAAAGAGGCTACTGAAGGGGTAGTGCAGAGAGAGACTGGAGGCAGTTTTACTGGGACAGTTACATAGAGAGAGCTTGCAGAAAAAGAACAAATTAGATATAGGTAAAGCCAGTATGAGCCAGAGAACAAGCAGCAGCCAGAAAATTAGAACAGATCACCAGGGTTAGTTTGAAGTCATGCAGAACAATTCAATCAGAGGCTGAGAGAGAAGCCAGATTCAATCAGTCAGCTTGGAGAGGACTTTTGAACCAGAATAGCTGAGTTGATCAGCCAGTCAGAGCTCAGAGAGAACTAGAAAAGGTGACCTTATTCAGCAGTAATTCTCAGAGGCTGAAAACATTTTAGGCCTAGATAAGATTGTACAATGGCTAGAAGCTTCCAGGACTAGGCCTAGCTTAACAGAGAGATGGGAGACGACAATTACACCAGGTGTCAAAAACAACACCTGTTTGAGGCAAACATGTTCTCTTTATTCAAGTCTATTGTTAACTCTCAGGTCATGCTAAATATATTTCTCTGTTTTGAATTGCTTTGGTTCTTTAGTGACACTACCCTCCCACCATTCAGTTAATGACCATAGAATATGCGGGTAGGGGCCCTATGCTTTTCCTCTCTGTTTCTCTGTGTAGCAGTTGGCCTGTGTTCAGGGGCCGCAGCTCTGGCCTTTTCTTGCCTTGGCTCTGTTCATTTGTGGAGTGACCTGTCTGCCCCAGTTCTTGCTCATGCACTCAAAATTTTAAATGATGTTTGCAACAGGGTTTTATGTAACCCAGGCTGGCCTTGAACTGACTGTATAGTTGAGGCTGGCCTTGCATCTCATCCTCTATCTCCCAAGTGCTGGGATCACAGACCTGTGGCACTACACCCAGTTAGTCTGTGGTGCTGGGGACTAACCCCTTGTACATGGTAGGTAAGCATTCTACCAACTGAGCTACATCTTCAGCCCTTGAATATGTTAGTTTTAGTCTATAGTCTATGTGTATATCTTGCTGTGTGGGTTTCTCTGTGAGTGTGTGTGTGTGTGGTATATGTGTGTAGCAGAGATACAGGGTGTATGGTTGAAGCAGCAGTGAGGAGATCAGCGAGGGTATAAGAGGGGATGAACATTTATATCATGTCATGCTCTGCTAGGTGATATACTAATGCCTTTGAAGAAAATGAAGAGGTCAGGTGTCTTGGCTGAGCCCAACATGCTGCAGGGTGTCAGAGCCACTGTTTGAATCTGGGTCAGTGGTGAGAGCTGTTTTACTCCCATGCTTTCTGCCTGAAAGTGCAGAAGTGAACTGTACGGAAAGACCATTTCCTGTGTTGTGTTCCTTCTTTTCTACCTGGTTTCCGTATGCTGTCATCTGCACACCTGGTCCCTACGAGTGTGCGTCGTGCGCGGTGGTGGATCTGCAGCTCATCTCGTTCCTTCATGGATCTGAAGGCTCTTCTCTCTTCCTTGAATGACTTTGCATCCCTCTCCTTTGCTGAGAGCTGGGACAATGTGGGATTACTGGTGGAGCCAAGCCCACCCCATACTGTAAATACGCTCTTCCTGACCAATGACCTGACGGAGGAGGTCATGGAGGAGGCTCTGCAAAAGAAGGCAGATCTCATCCTCTCCTACCACCCACCTGTTTTCCGGCCCATGAAGCATATAACTTGGAAAACCTGGAAGGAGCGCCTCGTGATCCGGGCTCTGGAGAACAGAGTCGCCATCTACTCTCCCCACACAGCCTATGATGCTGCACCTCAGGGAGTCAACAGCTGGTTGGCCAAAGGGCTTGGTGAGAAAACTCTTGTCCTTCCAAATTTAATGATTTCCCTACAAATACTTTGAAACTTTAGAATGTCTTCCTAATAAAGTTTTAATTCTCCAGGACTACACAGAGAAACCCTGTCTCAAAAAACCAAAAAAAAAAAAAAGTTTTAATTGTTTTTAGAGACAACAGGTTTTTTTGTCTTTATATAATATTAAAAATAATGTGCTGCTTAAATTTGGTAAGTAAGTTTCATTTGAACATGTATTTTATTTTTATATCTGTTGAGTGTTTTGCCCCACTGACTTGCCTACAGGCAGTGTGGCGGAGGTATTTTTGTTTCAGTTGAGGTTTCCTTTTCCCAGCTGACCCCAGCTTTGACCCCAAACTGACAAAAACTAACGAGAACAGGGAGGATAATGTGTTAGTTTCAGCGAGAAAGCAGAGCGTGAGTCTTCATTGCTGCATGAGCTTCATGGTTCAGTTATTCACAGTGAGGTACCAGCATCTCAGGGCTCACAGCTGCTGGGATGCTCAGGATGTGCTTGCTCGGTTAGCTCGGAGACATCAAGCTTTCTGTCCGATTGGCTGTTGCCTTGGCTTTATTTGTGTGTAAGTGTGGGAGCACACGGAGGACAACGTTCAGGACCTGATTCCCTCCCCACACCATGGGCTCCTGCTGCTGAACTCAGTCAGTAGGTCTGTGTGATAAGCACCTTTATCCAGTGAGCTGTCTGGCTCCCCTCCCCTGCCTTCCTGCTAAGGGTCTTGTTTTGTAGTTTAGTCTGGTCTCAAGCTTGAGGTTCTCCTGTTTCCCAGAACTAGAGTTGGAAGCCTGTTGACCGTACACAGATGGCCTCAGGCTCTCACAGAGTGCTTCCATCCAGCACAATGAGTGAGTTCCTCATGGTTTAGCTTAATCTGGTACTCATTTTGGGCTAAAACAATTTTTTTGTTGTTCTTTTGTTTTTTGCAGTCTCACTATGTAGCCTTGGCTGACTTGGAACTTCCTTGTAGACCAGGCTGGTCCTTCCCAGTTCTGGGATTAAAGGTGTACACCACCATACCTGGCCCTGGACTGAAACCTTTATAACAAAATGGTCATTATAAATGTGTTCAACATATATGTATCATATATGTATGTATATGTAAACTTTGTTTTAGATGAATAGATTGATCAAACAGTGGATAATTAAAAGACAAAACAAGCCAGGCAGTGGTGGCACATGCCTTTAATCCCAGCACTTAGGAGGCAGAGGCAGGCAGATTTCTGAGTTCGAGGCCAACCTGGTCTACAGAGTAAGTTCCAGGACAGCCAGGGCTACACAGAGAAACCCTGTCTCAAAAAACCAAAAAAAAAAAA